TTTCTCTCTCTTTCCCTCACTTCCACCTTTCCACCTTAACCCGGAAAAGCATCCGCAGGCACGCGTAACACGCCCATCATCTCCCCCCCAAAAAATGCATGCCCCTGGGTCCTCATTGGCTGGTACGCGCGCGCTCGTGCACTCACACGCATTCACACGCACACACATATGCACACACGGGCAGCTGAGAGGTGCCCGGGTTGAGATCGGAAGGCTTTTGCAAAAGGAAAAAAAAAACAAGCATCTTTTTGCAATCGCTGCCCTATGCGTTTTTTTCTCAAATTAGCCAGATCAAGGGATTCACTCGCCATCCAATGCATTTTTGAGGTTTATTTTTTTTTAAATCGCCAGCATGATGATTTTCCCCCCCCTTTTCCTAAAAAAATGCAAAGCCTGGAGCACCACTTTCGTACCCCAAAAGGGGAGATCTGGCTGATCACTTAACGTGGCTCCTGCCTCCCGCTTTGATGTTTCTGGGTTCACTTATTGCCCCCCCATGAAAACAAGTTGGGTGTTGAAAACTTGCCCGCTTTATATTTTTATTAAATTGGGGGGAAGGAGCCTTCTGTTTGGAGTGCCGTTTATTGATTTATTGTTCATCTTTGTTAAATACAGGCCCTGTTGCTCCAGCATCTCATCAGGATAATTTGGGATTTCGCTCTCTCCACCCGAGGTTCTGCAGCATCTAGGCTGGTCAACAGTTCTGTGGGACTCAGAAGCTTGCCTTTAATATTGTTTTAGGCGCCCAATGAATGTGTTATTGAACTATTTTTGCGGTGTGCATGTGTGACCTTTTAGTTGTTCTACTTACAAATTATATTTCTATAGGTATTAATTATGAGCAACGCGGCCATCTCTGCTCCCCTACCCCCTTTGTGTGTGACTTGTCTGACAAAACCTCTCCCTCTCTCTCTATATATATTTGGCACAAAACAAGCATGAACCACCTCTGATTTAATGAAGTCTGCCCTCATCTGTCTAGTTGCCCTCTGCATGTGCACACACTGTACAGTATGCGCTCTTGTTGACTGTACTTTAATTTTAATGTCCGGCCCCAAACACACAACCCTTCTCTCTACAGTACTTGATTCATTTTGTACGCTTCCCATCTTGCAGAATTATTTAATTGTGTAATATAGTTTTCTTATATGTGTTATGTTTTTATGTTGTAAGCCACCTAGAGTTGTTGCAATGACCAGATAGGCGGGGTATAAATAGAATAAATAAATAGACAAACAAATAAATAAATGTGTTATGTGGAAGACAATAATTATTCATTTGCAATGCCACATCAGTTACAGTACTTTGGGGGGGGTCTTACCATTTTCCAAAGTTGCTCCCACACTTTGGAACTCCCTGCCACTGGAACCCATACCTGTCATTCTTCTCTGGTCCAGTGATGATTTATGTATTTTGATCCATGAGGTTCCAAGAGCTGATCAGGAATGTTGACAGCACAACCTCTCATGGAACTGCCAGCAGTCAGAAGGAACTTGAGAGCACATAACAATACATTTAACCTGTATTTTTAATCATGACCTGCCTTGAGCATTATTTTATCCTGGTAAGGCAGGACATAAACACATAGCTGGTCCGGTGATGATTTCTGTATTTTGATCCATGAGGTTCCAAGAGCTGATCAGGAATGTTGACAGCACAACCTCTCATGGAACTGCCAGCAGTCAGAAGGAACTTGAGAGCACATAACAATACATTTAACCTGTATTTTTAATCATGACCTGCCTTGAGCATTATTTTATCCTGGTAAGGCAGGACATAAACACATAGAGAAATATGGATAAGGTCCCCGCCCACAAGGAACTTACAGTTTTGAAACAATTAACGGGGAAAAGATAGAGTGAGGAGCAGAGAGGAAATTTCATCCCTCTCCGGGCAGTTGCCCTGCTTCTTGGGAATGTCCTCTTTGCATAAGAAGGCTTACCAGCTTTTCTTTGGGTGAAAATGCCCTTTTCCTTCATCTACAGAATAATCCGTGTAATGAACCTGGTCCATGACCTAGATGTTCAAAACACATCCACCGTCTCAGGCTTTCCCTTCGGAAACACTTACAAGGACCACAGGTCATGGAAAAGGAAGAGACGTCAGGGAAAGTCATATGAATGCTTTTATTCTGAGGTCACTGTGGTGACTCAAGAGAAACACAGAAGGGAGATTTCTCCAGCAGGGCCTGCACTAGTTTTAATAAAAACACAGCTCATCCCAGCCCAGTCTTCGTCCCATGAGCTAAAGTATTTTTTCCGATTTCTTTTGTCTGTTCTCACCTGTCAGCACATGCCCCCTGTCTAGAGATGGGCAAGAACCAGTTCGTCTCAGTTCGTGAAGGCGGCAGCACAGGGGCTGATATTCCCTTCCCCTGCCTCCACTGGCGCAAAGAGCCCCTCACCAGGCGCAGCTTGATGGCCTTTTCCCATCTCCGGGGCTAATCTCCCAGTCAGGGGCAAGAGCCCAGGCTTCTCTGCCCTGCCCTTTCGCCTGAGTGGGAGATCAGCCAAGCCTGGGCTACTGTCAGGACTGGAAGATCAGTTGAGGAAATGTTGGAAGCTGGCACGCTGGACCTGGTGAGTGGCTTACTGAGCCAGAGGTGGTGAGGGAGGGGAGCAGCAGCACCTATGCTGCCACCTTTATGAACAGGGGTGAACCGGTTCATGCCCATCTATCCCTCTCTTATTTTGTAGCATGCCTTTTTAGCAATGGATGCACAACTGGCTTTGACCTCCCCTGAAGTGTGTGGGGGAGCAAACAACCTCCTTTATGTCATTTAAATTTTCCCCTATGTTCCCGGGGCTTCCGCTTGGAGGCTTGCCCCAAGTGGAAGGGGTCCGTTTGCAAGAAGGCAGGTTTCCGGTCGCAGTTCAAAACAGTAGGAACATTTTAAGGGAGGAACTGCCATTTTTTTCTGGAAAGAGGAACGTCACAGGTAGTAACATAGTCCTGATCACGGGAAAACAACCTGCGTGTGTTTGGGTCTGTAACTAGAGAGATTTTACTGGCAAGCTGTAAAACAGGGATAGAAAGTTCTAGGATAAAATCCAGGCCTCTAGGATGTGTGTGTCTAAATTTTAACTCCCTCCCCACGGCACCCTCCTGTGGCCGTATTCCAGGGTTTTTTTCCCCCTTGCAATCTCCCCTCCGAAAATGTAGAAATGCCTCTTTGAAGGCTCAGCTTCTCGCAGCCTTTCATTTCAAGTTAAAATAAGCTCGTAGACCTGACCTACAACCCTGCCCCTATTTGCCTTCGGTTCCAATTCACCACTACAGCACAGCTCCTGGGCAGAAAGAGGTATACCTTGCCCTTGAATGAGGAGACACCCCCCCCCTAAAAAAGTAACATGCTTCTATTTCTCTTCCCTGAGTCCAGGGCAAAGCTGTAAAAGCACATTGGCTGTATGGAGTGGGAAGCAGAGGCAGGAGGTCCGCAGAGAGTCTGCCTCGAGCACATCGGCTAGAAAAATGGGGCTGGTGGTAGAACAACAACGCGCAGAGGATCTCTTCTCATTTCACAATTCATGTTTAATCATTCGTTGCCTGCCCCAGCATCGCTCCCCTTCAAAATGAGTTACAGAGGCCATCTGAGAGACTGGTTTTCCGAGGAGCCATGGCCACGACCTGCTAAGTGCTCCGGACATCCGAGTTACAGACAGAGGCCATCTGAGAGACTGGTTTCCGAGGGGCCACGGCCACGACCTGCTAAGTGCTCCGGACATCCTGTGCTTTTTAAAACGATGCCAACCCGCCAGAGGGCACGGTAAGCTTCTCCGACTCCGTGGAGGCCTCCCTGAACTCTGCCATATCCCATCTCCTTCTCGAGTGCCGGACGGGACTCGAAGCACACCACACGCCAACGTGGAGTAGACAACCCTGAACGCTTATGGTCGACACTACAGAAGGGGAGGAAGGGCCAGGGACCAAGGAAGTGAGACGGTGAGAGGCCAGTGAAACTGGAAGGTGAGAAAAAGTGGCTTCCGAAGTGGGTTTGGAAGTCTCACCTCGAGAGAGAGGCGGGAGAGCTGCCAGGAGAAACAGTGGACACAGGCTCAATTGTCAGGAGCGCTACAGGAGGAAGGGGCCAGAGAGGAACTAGACAAAAAGAACATGCAGTTTTCAACCTTTCTAGTCTACGCACGCGCTTTCCACAAATCTTGGTGCAGGGATGGGGAGGAATGAGAAACTAACCTGAGAAAAGACACAGAGGTGAGGGCTGTGATCTAGAGCAGGCGTGGGAAAAGAAAGGTTCTCGGGCATCCCAGCTCTTATCAGGCTCCCATCTTCTCCCCCCCACACCCCGAAACACATTTTCCCACAGGTGGGGAAAGATGAAATGCTTGTCCTAGAAGCGTTGAGGGGCAGTCTTTTAAATAGGCCACAATCCACAGTTGCATCTTGGGGGTGGGGTGGGGAGGTCGATGCCACCCACAGAGAAGGCTGGGAGGTAGGAAATGGATTCCTAGACCCACGAAACTTGTCCACGCCGATGGTTCAGCCAAAATGCTGGCTGGACTGCCTTCGATCCCGGCTTCCAAAGCAGCCGCCTCTTCGCCTGCACTGATCAGGAAAGGGACATCCTATACACAAAAGGTCACACAAGGTCAGGGCGGATATTACTTTCGGGTAAGAAGAACAAGAAGGAAAGTACCTGATGTTTTTAAACAATACAATACAAAACAGTAATAGATGACCAAACAGCAAATGCTTACAGTTATCCAGTGCTTTTTTTTTTCTCCCCCTCCTTCAAGAAGTCAAGATTTGGGGCGTTTTAGCTTAAAAACTCATCTCTGAGAGGAGGCTCCATTCCCTACATTTAACACCCTTGGCCCATAAGCAGGTAACTGCTGCTTGAGGTCAGGCCTGCACCTCCTCTTGAAAGAAGCCCTTGGCTACTGCTGCCCACTTTCTATAGTTGTAAGCAAAATTATTCAACCTCCCCCCCCCGCCCCTTGCAAATCAGGTTTATTGTCAAAATTGACAGACTTTCAGCTGTTTGCAGTGAACGAATCGAAAGCAATTGAAATAGCTCAACACAATGAATGCTTCAAGCCGTTTCCCCAAATTCAACTGAAAATGCAACTTTAAATGAATTTTTGCAGTCTCAAAAATAATTTAATCCTTTCACGGCAAGCATCCTTAGTACTTAGTAGATCACCCTTTTGCTCTTATGACCTGCTCCAAAAGAGATGCATAGCCAGACACCAGCGTTCCTGAGGAATCTTAGCCCATTCTTCATGATCAATGGCCTCCATTTCAGTCATATTCTTGTCTTTGCGTGCTGCAATCACCTTCTTTTAATCCCGCCATAGATTTTCTATGGGGTTCAAGACAGGTGATTGTGATGGCCACTGTAGAGCCTTCCAGGACTTCTTCTGCAACCAAACCTGGGTTGAACGTGAGGTATGCTTGGGATCATTGTCCTGTTGGAAGGTCCAACAGGAAGGTCTAAGAACGCCCAAGCTTCAGCTTCCTCACAGCTGGCATGACGTTTTCTCCTAGGATTTCCTGATACTTCAATGAATCCATCTTGTCTTCCAGACGCTGCAGGTGTCCACAGCCAGAGGATGCAAAACAGCCTCAGAGCATCACCATAGCTCTGCCGTGCTTAACTGGAGGCAGAGTGTTCTTTTCAGTGTGTGCTTCATTCTTCTTTCTCCAGACATACTGCTGATCCATCGGATCAAAATGTTCCAGTTTTGTTCCACCGCTCCACAGAACAGAACCCCCAAATTTCTGTGGCTTGTTTATATGATTTGGGGGCATACTGGAGCCAAATCATATTTTCCTTTGCTTTTGGGTCAGTAGTGGTATGTATCACGGAGTTCTGGCATGGAAACCTGCGTTTAGTACGGGCCTTACTGTGCAAACTGAAACCTCAGTGCTTGTTGTTGCCAAGCCTTCCTGCTGAGCTTTTGCAGTCACTCGAGGTTTTTCTCAGCCTGCCTTTGCATAAATCAAGTTGCAGTCATTGATGGGCTTCCTTTTTCTTCCCCACAGAACTTCTGGACTCTGCTTTCAACGGTGCCTCTCGAAACATGAAGTGCCTTCACTGTCTTTTTGTATCCTGTTCCTTGCTTGTGAAGGGCAACAATCTCTTTAACTCTTTGGCCCATTCTTTTGACTTCACCATATTTCTAACATACAGTCAAATGTGACACTCACCAAATTCCTTGCCAGCTCAGATATTTCATGTGTTCCAACTCAAGCACGCTCAGTGTAACAAATAAAGCCCTTAATTCATTGCATCAGGTATGTTTGAGACAATACCTGTTTTTGCATATTTGTGTTGTTGTGTGTGTGGGGATTCTATTCAGGGGGTTGAATGATTTACAGACTGCAGAATTCATTAAAGAGGGCATTTTCAGATGAATTTGGGGAAACTGCTTGAAGCATCGTGTTGCGCTATTTCAATTGCCTTTGTTTGGTTTGTTCACTGCAAACAGCTGAAAGTCTGTAAATGCTGACAACAGACCGGATTTGCAATGGGGGGTTGAATAATTTTGATTACAACTGTAAATATCAACAAAAAGAGAGAGGTCTATACCACCTCGGTGCTCCTTCCACGATGGGGACAAAAAACGGCCCCCAAACATCAAAAATGGGATGGAACGGCACGCCAGCTGCAATTTTGGGCTCAGCCCCTCCTAGCTCCTTTGGCGGAAAGTTTTGGAACTGACACTCAGGCCGAAAAGATGAAGGCAGCAGCTCCCTTTCAGGAGATTCCTGCCCCAGTGAAAGAAATGTTTCTTTTTTTAAAAAAAGAGAGAGAAACGTTTTGGAACCCGTTTCAATTCACGCAGGCGCCCCAGTGAAAGAAAAGAAATGTTTCTTTTTAAAAAAGAGAGAGAGAGAGAGACGTTTTGGAACCCGTTTCAATTCACGCAGGCGCTGTCGTTCCGTAAACCGAGCACTGCCTGGGCCAGCTTGCCCGCGTCCAGCCCCTGACCTCCCTCGGCCGGCGGGCAGCCCTTGGAGTCCGCCATCCCCGGGCCGCAGCCAAAGGCCTCAAAATCCACCGCGACGTCCTGGACGTTCCTCTCATTGGCGTTGTCGAAGCTGTTCTTGCCGTGGAGCTGCTTCAGGTGCTTACGGAGGACGGGCTTGTGGGCGAAGACCATGTCGCAGTAGTTGCACTTGTGGGGCTTGTCCCCACTGTGCAGGTTGAGGTGGTCTTGCAAGGAGCACTTCTGGGAGAAGGTCTTCCCGCAGATCTTGCACTGGAAGGGCTTGATGCCGGCGTGGACCCGCATGTGCCGGTGGAGGTTGCCCTTCTGGGTGAAGGTCTTGCCGCACAAGAGGCACATGAAAAGCTTGTGCATCTTCAAGTGGTTGGCGTAGTTCTCCAGGTGTCGGAACACCCGGGTGCATTTGGGACACTGGTGGTGCCACTGGAGGCCCTTGTCCACGCCCCGATTGCTGGAGCCAAACAGGTCCTTGGGAGCCAGGATGAGGCTCTCGCCCCCTGCGTACGAGAGGCCGTAGTTGTGCAACTGACTCCGCTCCATTTCCACGCCCCGGTTCTCCACTGTGGAGTTGATGAGCGAGTGCTGGGGTTCGGAGGAATGGAGGGTGCTCGGCTGCTCCGAGGCCAGGAACTGGCCCGGGTCCTTCTTGCTACGCCCCTCCGTCGCCGCCTCCCCGATGGACTCCACCTTCACGATCTGGATGTCGCTGTCCTCCATATCCAAGCTGTCCTCTGAAGGTTGGACGCAAGGCGAATCCGGCTGCAAGGAGGAGTCCTCCTCGTCTTCGTCCTCCTCCCCCCCACCCCCGGTCCCCGGGCGCTCCTTTGGGTCGGGAGAGTCAGCCTGCCGCACGCCGTCCGCTTTGTGGCTGAGCTGCTGTTTGGGCCGGATGAATTTCCACAGGGCTTGCGTGCAGCGCTCCACGATGTGGCTCATCTGGAGGAAGCTAGCGGCGGTCAAGTAGTTCACCAGCTCCATCTCGGGAAACTCCAGGACGCCGCTGTAGCAGGAGAGCAGCAGCTGCTTCCCCACTTCGGAGCTCTGTAAGATGGAGATCTTCACTTCCCTGGAATCGTTTAACAGGAACTGGTCTCTTAAGAAAGGGGAGCCGGCAGCAAAGACGATCTTGTGGCCGTGGACCTCCAGGTCGTCGATGCGGACGGTCACGTCGCAAAATTTGTTCTCCTCCCGCAGCTTGTCCATCTTCTGCAGCATGGAGTCCCCGTAGTTGTCAAACTGGAAGTGGAGGCTGTCGGCCCTTTCGCTCATGTTGACAAACCTGAAGGGCTGCGGGTGGACAGAGACAGTGAGTTAACACAGACCAGGAAAGATTCCAACACTAGCCCAACTTTTTTGGGTGGGGAGGCATAGATCACAGGTGGATAAACTGAGGCCCTGCAGATGTTGCCGGACAGAGGGTGCCCATCAGCAACACAGTGATGAGAAATGATATGAGCTGTAGGCCCCCCCTTCCATCATGTCTGGGAACCCACATTTTCCTCCTACAGGCACAGAGAGAACACTGGCAAACAGACACTGTAACGGGATACATCTTGCTTTTTCATCTAATTCTCTTTCAAGACTATACACTGATAACAATCATTCTCCTGCTCCCACCGCCCCACTTTCTTTGATAGTTCCCAAAGAAGCATCCGTGAAAGAGGTGTGCAAGAAACGACACCCTCTGACTAAGCCCCTCTGGGTCACCCCTTCTCTCTGATCTACCTTGCTGGGCTTGTGTCATAAGGACAAAGTGTGTGTAGGGGAAAAAGCGTCCCTACCTCAGGGGCAAAGCACACAGACGTTCGCGCCCAGAGAGTCCAGTCCCCAAAATCTCCAGGAAGGGCTAGGAAAGGAATCCTGTCCCCAAGCCCCTAAAACACCACGAACGTCACTCAGCACCGGCTACAGGGGAGCAAAAGAAACCAAGGGTCAGATTCTCTGCTGAGGAGCATCTGAGTCCATAGAACGAGAAACACGACAGTGACTGAAATGGGGAAGAAAAGCCGACGGGACCCAGGAAACCAGACCCAGATTTAGTCCCCTGAAGGGAACAGGAGGGCATCCCCACCGCCTCCCTTTATCTTACCTAAACAAGACGTGCCTGGAAGAAGGTCCAGAAGGGAGGAAGGCTCGCCTGCCTCGCCGCCCCCTCCCCACGCCGCCGAGGTGCCGCGTCTTGTGGCCGCGAGTTCCACCGGCCAGCCGCCGAAGAAGAAGCACCCCGGCTCTTCCCGGGAGGGGGGGGAATACGGGGGCCTCCACCCACCGAGACCCGGCTTACCTCCTCTCCGCCTCCCCCAGGCGGAGCCAGCCCGGCGGCGGGGGGGGGGGGGGGAAGAGGCGAGAAGGAGGGAAGCCCCGACCCGGGAGTTCCTCCTCCTCCTCTTCCTCCTCCTCCTCTGCCGCCACCGGAAGCCGCTCCCTCCCCTCCTCCTGGGCACCACTTCCTGTTCCGCCTCCCTTTTTCCCCCCCTCCCCCGCGGTCACGAGAAGGAAAGAAAGGGGAAACCATAGAGAGGGAAAAAGAGAGAAGGGACACCGGAAGTGAGGCGAGCTCCTCGGGGGGTCCCTGGCAGTTTCTCCGTCCCGGAAGTGACCCGGCTCGCTTCCGGCCAGGCCCCGGGACACGTGACAAGGGGGCCGAGCCCGAGGGGGGGGTTGAGGACTGTTGGGGAAGGGGAGGGGGGGAGAGAGAGGCACTCGGGACTGAGGCCCGGCAGCGGCCTGGCTGCTGCTGCTGAGGGAGGCGGCCTCGGGCCGGGCCTGGAGGAGGGTGAGTCCGGCAGCACCTCCCGGAGGAGGAGGAGGAAGAGGAGGAGGAGGAGGAAGGGGAAGGGGGGGCTGGGGCTCCTCCCCGGTGGGGCGTGTGTGTCTATTTGGGGGGGTCCCTACCCTCCTCTGAGGTAAATCTGGGCCCTCCTCTGAGGTAAATCTGGGGTGTCTCCCCCCCCTCACCCACCCCACTGGAAGAATAAGAGGCAGGTATCGCCATTTGGGTGGTTCCTTCGGGGGAGGAACGGAAAAGGAACGCGTGCCATTTCCCCCCCAAGTAACGGCGTTTGCGCCCTTCGGTTGTCGTTATTTTCTGTTCCTTTTGCCCGATTCTTCCTCCCCGAAAGAGGTGGTTTGGGAACCCTGGAACGGAAGCCTCCTAGTCCTGGTTCTACCCTGTGGTTGGAAGAAGTAACTTTTTTCATTTTTGGGGGGGGCCCAGACCCTTGGCAGATGGAAAAAGTAACTTTCCCAAGTTTTAGATAGGACTGCTTTCTCATATAGGTACAGTATATATGTATTTGACTTGGAAGTGGCTGTTTTCATCTTACGATTTCCCAGTTCTCTTGTGGGAGCCCTTTCATGCTGGCAGCTGAAATCTTCAAAAAGTAACTTCTCCCAGGTTTGGATCGGACTGCTTGGTTCTTCTATCCGGCGGAGATAGTTTGAATGTTATAATATTGTCCTTAAACGACGTTTTAATAGTAGTGCTGGTTTTCTTTTCCTCGCTGTCTTTAACACGGATCATAAGTTGTGTTTTTAACAGCAGGATAATTTTGTGTTTCTGTGTCGGTTTTGGAAGCGCAAGGATTGCCAAGCCTGATCCACGAGGGCGGGTGGGTGGAAATAAACATACAGGGTTGGGTGATACTGTATTTTTGCTGCTGTAAAAGAGTGTATCCTTGTTTCTTGTGATATTTCCATTGGTCTCAGTTTAAATTTTGCTTGATTCTTTCCTTCTGCTAGTAGTAACACTGTTGGCATGTTGCATCTTTGCTAATGACGATGATGGTGTTTATTGGATAGTTCTGTAAGTGCTGTTGTGCTTAGTAATGAAGACTTGGATCCTGTTTATCAGTGTAGTCTTACGAGGTAAGATTCTGCAAGTTTGGTGGGACTTCTTCCTGAGTACACTTTGTTTTGGATTTTGCCATTTATCGATGAAATCATTGGAGGACTCTGTCAGCCATAACTGACTTTTTCCCTGGGATTTTTCCACCGATTTATTGAGAACTATGGGCACCTAACTCCCATTGCTGCAGCCCTGTTTGGCTTGTGCAAGAAACAGAAATACCGAAAGACCTGTAGACTTCGCAGCTTCATTGCAGCTTTAGTTTTCCATTCATATTTACAAAATGTAGTCCCCGTTTTGGAAGATATGCTGTAAGTCGGTTTGGAGAGAAAGATATGGTATAATGCAGTGGCAAATCAAAATCCCTTCTGTGCGAAATCAGCAAATCATCTCAGCCCCGAGTGATCCCATGAGGCAGCTTGTGTTTACAAGCAATATGCAGTCAAAAGAGATATCTTGTGACTCATTCTGAAACTTGCTTTGGAGAAATGTGTCCACTAAAACCAAAACGTTTTAAAAAAAAACCGGTGTGGTGTAGGTGTTAGGGGTTTAGAAAGTCTCCCCCTTCATCTATGAATCCCACAAAGTTTAGGACTTGAACTTGCAAACTCTCTCGGTCTGACAAAGTGGGCCATGTTCCACAAAATCTGACATTTAATATATCACAGTTGGTCTTTAAGGGGCCACAATGTTTTTTGTATTGTTTTGTTTTCTGTTTCTTTGTTGAAATGCTTGCACTGACTAACGTGGCTGCAACTTCGAAAACTAGCCCAGAAGAGTAACTTTCTGAAATGAAAACCCCATCTTGAAGAGAGAAGCCCTCGGGGATCATATGATCCGAGATACTGCCGTTCTCTCCAATGGAGGAGCAAACGTAGAAGAATCTTAGATATTCTTGGTGATTAGAATCATGGCACCAGTCTCAGAGTTGGGGGCAGTCAGAAAACTTCACAAGAAAGTTTCCCATGGTGATGGTTTGATGTCTCCATCTGTGACAATTGGGGGAAACTGGCGTCCCCTTCTCTCTTTCCCTTTCTTGGGGATGGATCTGGAGTGGCTCTTAGAGTAAAGATCGTGATAGATGGTCAACAAGATAGTGGGACAAAAGCATTCATGTTAGCTTCTCCTGAGGCAGTGTGCGGGGTGGGAAGGAATGTAAAGCCCTAGCTTGGGTGTGTTTGTTTCAGGGCAATTGACATTATGCCTCAGGACATGAAATTCCTGGTAGCCCTTCCAATCTAAGAGCTTGGGGGGCGGGGGAGGAAGAAGGGAGAGAGAGCTAGCATGGCTGCAGTGGTATTTGTGCTCTCTAAATAATTCTAAGGGACGTGGTGGCGCTGCGGGTTAATCTGCAGAAGCCTCTGGGCTGCAAGGTCAGAAGACCAGCCGTCCTAAGATCGAATCCATGCGACACAGCGAGCTCCTGTCGCTTGTCCCAGCTCCTGCCAACCTGGCCGTTCGAAAGCACGCAAATGCAAGTAGATAAATAAGTGCCACCACGGTGGGAAGGTCACGCCGTTCTGTGCCTAGCTGCGCTGGCCACGTGACCACATAAACTGTATTCGGACAAACACTGGCTCTACGGCTTGGAAAGGGGGATGAGCACCGCGCCCTAGGGTTGGACACAACTGGACTAAATGTCAAGGGGAACCTTTACCTAAATAATTCTAATTGCATGCCATCAAGCCCATTCTGATTTATGCTCAGACTTTTCAGGGTGTTCCAGGTAGAGAAGATTCAGAAGTGGCTGACCCTTCCCTTTTTCCGAGGACACCCTGGGACTGTACAGCTTGTCCGTGGCCACACAGGCTGGCTCTTTGCTTGGAGGTCCAGTGGAGAATCAAACGCCCAACCACGGGGCTATCCGTTTCCTGAAATTTTGCTATTTGGATGAGACACAAGACACTACGTCCTACTCCACCAATAAAATGGGACTTCAGGATCCTGGAAACCTGGGCTCCCCCCCCCTCAAATTTTTACAGTTTCAGGAGGTGGCCAAGAGTTTCTCTGATCTGTAGAAAATGAATTTCTCAGAGCTGCATCGTCCATTCCATGTGTCACAGCTTTCTGCTAGAGAAGAGTTTGGTCTTCCTTCGGTGGAGACATTGAATGGTGCTGTGAATCAGGAACGTTGAAAAACCCCACTGATTTAAATTTGGGAAGTAAACGTGCATTTAAATCTGCCCCAGGGAAATCAACATGGCCCAAAGAAAGCAGTGTTCTGCTTTGGGCAATATTAAGCCTCAGCTTGCTTTGTCTTTATTGTTCATCCCACCTCCCCGCCCTGATCGCAAAAAAATGTTTAAAGGGTGTGTGCCTTTAAAAAGGTTAACAAAAGAACAGGGAAACTGTAGAATGTATAGATACCAGAATCTGTTATGCAATGTGGCCAAATAAATTACAAAATCCTGTTGCTCAAGAAGGAAAAGAAAAGAAAAAGTTTTTATGGGTGCTTTTTTTGTGGCCGGCTGGGGGCAAAGTCCTGATAAAATTCCCTATTTGTCTTGGGTTTTAGATTGTAAGTTCCCTGGGGCAGGGACTGTAAAAATGCCATATGGATCCATATGAATGGACCTCTCAATATGAATAAACTGTAATTATGATTACTCCCAGCCAAGCTCTGTTCAGTTAGCGTTGACAGCAATATTTGTAAATTACACGGATGGATTTTACAGTTTTTTTTCTTGACAACATGAGAATTAGAAGCATTTATATAAAAGGGATATTTTTGGGTACCTTGCCAGCGGCTAGATTCTGGGCCCCTGTAAAGCTTTCCATGCCTTGCTTCCCTACATTTCTTTTTTGGGTTGTTGTTTTTAAAGGGGAAGAGGTTCTAACAGTAGCGACTGAATTGATGACACTCAAGCTGCTAATATTAAAGTTTAATTAGTTCTGAGTGGCAGTATTTGATCTTAGTTTCCTGTTGTCTGCAGGGATTGATCTGGCTTTGTATTTAAGCATTGGCTAGGAGCAGCCATAGGGGGATGAAGCACTGCATACAGGGTGTGGGTGGGATGATGGTTAAGGGGCTGGTTGTTAGACTCTCCTCTTCTACCTCCAGCATAAAAGTGCTCTATCAGCCTGCTGTGTCTGTAGTTGGCTAGTAGACTACTTTGCAGGCCAGTAAGTACTGTGGACTTATTTTACAAGTCCAGTTTCAAATTCAGCTTAGAAAGCTGGAGTGCATTATTTTCTCTTCCATAGTGATTTGCAGACTCCAGACCCTTAATAAAGCATCTTGATATTTATGGCTTCTCAGGCTGAGCGGTTGATCGACTTTTCTCGCCTGGTCAGAAAGGCATATTCTTTTGTTGAAACCTGATCCGATTGGGAAATACGGAAAAACAAATGTGAAGCAGCTTAGAGGCCTGGTTGTTTCTCCACCTTCCTGCATTGGCTTGCTGGGAGGCAAGCTTATATTGCTTTATGCAGAGTCGAGACTGGCTGAAGCCATGGCGAGCCTCACCTTTATGCGGAGTTGATGTAGTGTTAGATTTCTCCTGTGCCAGCAAAAGAAGCCACTGTTGCTGGATGCTGTTGGCATCACCAGAAGATTTGGCTTTAAAGGGCATTACTTATGCTATGTTTCATCCACTGATCTCTCAGACAATGACCCAATGGGTCACCAGTTGAGTGAGAAAGAGATATAGACAGAGAGAATCTCATTCCAGGCATTTATACTGTGGCAGCAAAAGTGACAAAGCGTGTGGTGACACTCTGAAGATGGCTAGGTTTTGTTTGGCATAATCTTCTGCTGACTCTAAACTGCTTCTTCTGATGCACTGAAACTTGTTAGCCTTTAAAGGGGGGTGGGGGCTTTGTTGTTCCTTCCAAATGGAGGACTCGGTGTCTGGAAATTTAAAGATCAGGATTTTCTGGTCTGTGTTAAACATTGCGGTCTTACTGAAGAAGGAGCTTGTGTGTGGCTTCTGAATTGGTGATCCTGCTGGATTGGGGATACTGGGAGTTGTAGTGAAAAAAGAACCCACACAGCTGGTTTGAAGCTCTTTCTCCAATACATATGTGTCAGTGCAATACGACAGATGCTGTATGGCTTCTGATTCCTCTCCCCGCACCCCTTAGTTGCTGAAATTGGAGGATCCTGCATGGGATGGAGAGGTAGAATTGAAAATCTGCAGAGTGGGGGGCTGGTGGAAGGGTGCGGCTCTCAGACTCGGGCTTCTGTGGAGGATTGCTTTTTGTACGCTGTAAATCATCTGGCACCCTGTGGCCTCCGCAGGGCTGGGTGGAATTCCAGACTTTCAGGGGTGTAAAAATAATTCAGCTCTGCTCCGGCTTCTGTTTCAGAGAATGCAGTGGCCTGAAACGTCTTGTCTCCTTTAACTGTCAGTGGCTTTGCCAGCGTCTTTATTTAAATAAACATGGAAAAACAGAGCAAGAGGAGGCCTTTCCTTGAAGGCGTAGCTGTTTGAGAGTGGAGGATAACGTAAGCCCGGGGTATGTTAACCCAGCCTTGAACTCCAATCAGCCAGAGAAAATTAACTTAAGCTCCAATTTGTTGGGTTAGCTCTTGGCTTGGATTAGACTAGTATCGGTGACTGTGGAAGATAGTGGCTCTGTATTGTTCCTAGCCCCTCCCTGTGGCAGGCAGGAGAAGACGAAGAATCCATGGATAAATTAATCTAGCATGTCAGAGAGACCTTTTGGGTTTGCATGTGCATGTATATGGATTCAATTTTTAGGATCCATTTTACCCTACCTTTTCTCCAGTGAACTCAGCAGGGCAGGCCCATTTTTTAACAGCCTCCTTTTATCCTTAACAACAGTCCTGTGAGGGAGGTCTGGTTGAGGGAGCTGGCCCAAAGATGTCCAGCGATTTCCATGGCTCAGTGGATCACAGAACCCCCATCTCTTAAATCTCCCAAGTCCAAGGCTCTAAGTAGTACACCACATGGGTGGAAGGTGTGCGCGCAAGCATGTGTGTCTGGGTTGTGGGGTGTGAATTAAAGGCAGTGGAACTCTTGGTAAATATCATTTGTGTCAAATTTCATTCATTTTTTCAGGATGTTTTTATGGGGTGGATCTCTGGCTCCCTTCTAATCAGCCTGCATCGGTTCTCCCATGAAGGTGGGGAGCAGTTGTGCCAGACAATGACTTTGGGTTGTAGAGCATCCCTTATGGGACCCAAGATGTTGTATGGTTTCTCTGTTGAGGGTTTTCGGGCTGGTCCCGTCATGGGTTTTTATTTGGCTGTGTTGTTGACTTCTGTGCTTTGAAAAGGAGGAAGACAGTTATTTGTTTGTTTATTCCTCTTCACATTCTGGCTTTCCACCAGTGACCTTACTGGGTTCTCCTCCTGACTCACAGCAACACCTACGAGACCGATCAGTCTAGGAGAGGACAGCTGGCCCATACAGTATTTGCCCAGTGAGATTCCATGGCCAAGGGGGGATTTGAACCCAGGGCTCCTGAGTTGTGCTCCAATGCTCTTAAACACTCTTGCTTCCTGACACATCGGGAGCAAACCCTTAAAAGGAGACGCTCCTGCTCTCGTAAAAGGGCTCCTGGGGAGACGGCTGGTAGTTCGGGGACTGGAGGAGACTGTTCTCTTGCCAGTTTGAATTCATGCCTAGATTGGGAAGCAGCCAGTGTTTTTGGGTGAACCCGAAACGAGAGGAAGAAGCTGTGCAATTCTCAGGGTGCCAACTGTGCCAGCAGGCTTTTCCTTTTAACTAGCGATAGTTCAGCTTCCTTTCCTTTCTTGGCCAAAGCTGAATGGCACGTTACAGATGACCCATTATTAGAAGAGGAAACTTCTTAACGGATGAAAATCTCTGATTCCCACAGCAGATGCTATTCTCCTCTCCTGTATCTTGCCCGTCACCTTGCTTGGTGCTGTGGCTGGTCTTTGGGACCTAAGCAGAGGCCTTGTTTACAGGTTGTGAAAGCCCCGCCTCTGGAGCACGGACGTGATATCAGAGCTAATGACAGGATATTTGTAATTTGTGGTTCAGCACAGAACAGGAGAGGCAGCATGGACGTGTGCCCTTATTTGAAAAGGATCAATAACGTGGCGACCATTTCCGTGGTATTGCACAGGGGTTTCGATTCTGGAACCCCTGGATGGTAAAGAGTTATTCATCATTTAATTGATGGTTTTTGTTTTTCAGGCACGTGGATCCCAAGCCCATTCATGCATCGAGCGTTCTCTTTTTTAAGTCATGGATGACAAGGCCTCTGTTGGAAAAATCAGTGTGTCGTCAGACTCGGTTTCTACTCTTAACAGCGAGGATTTTGTCTTGATTTCCAGGCAGGGAGATGAAACGCCGTCCACCAATAACGGCAGCGACGACGAAAAGACAGGACTGAAGGTATGAACTCCCAGGGCGCTCCAACGGAGGCGGGTGATTTAGGCGGCTGGGAAGACGTAGGAATCATTGGAATCACGGATGTGGCCTTCCCAGAAATTAGCATTTTTATCTGGCTTCTGTTGTTAATGTTACAACAGCCAATGTATTTAAACAGAGATACCGTATTTTTCGCACCATAAGACACACTTTTCCCCCATAAAACGGGGGTGGAAAGTTTGTGTGTCTTATGGAGCGAAGAAAACAGATTATATTTTCCTGTTTTCTTCTCCTAAAAAAATGGATGCGTCTTATGGAAAGGTGCGTCTTATGGAGCGAAAAATACGGTACTTGTTTGGCGGGAAGAAAATCACGCTTACTGTCTTTGAACATTATTCTCAAACACATTCAAACCTTTGTATGCATGTAAATTTTTTTATTAGAAAACTTACTTTTACGTACTGTTTTTATATTTTATAAGGTGGGCTTCTATGTAAAGAGAAAAAGGCACTCCAGCTGGTTGACAAGACTGATTTTAGCACACCAAATTCACTTAGTAGTACTAGTAATCTTGGAACTGCAGAACTGGAAGGAACCATATGGATCATCGAGTCCATACTCTGTGGTTGTCCACCAGCTAAGCTTCATTTCCTTCCCCTATAGTTACTGAGACACCTCTAGTTTTACTGTCAGTCCCTTAGAGTCACTTGGGCTGCTTGATTGAATTTCACAAAAGGGGTCCTGGGAGGTCATCTAGCCCAACCCCGTGCCAGCGAAGGAAATGCTCATCTATCCTGCCCCTGTGGTTGTCCACCTCCCAGCTAAGCTTCATTTCCTTCCCCTATAGTTACTGAGACACCTCTAGTTTTACTGTCAGTCCCTTAGAGTCACTTGGGCTGCTTGATTGAATTTCACACTGAAGCAAAAGGTGGTTCCTGGGAGGTCATCTAGCCCAAACCCATGCCAGCGAAGGAAATGCTCATCTATCCTGTCTAGTAACTGTCATGGAAGAAGACTTGAACCCCCTAAGGGAGTCCCCTCGCAGCTTTTGTTTCAGCAGGAGGCCTTATTCAGCAGGTCTCCTCCACTGCTGTGGCTTCTCCTCTGGGCTATAATTTTACTTGCTGGGTATTCCTGGACCTTACCAGGCATGAGGCGCTCTGGGAGGCACAGATCCTGAGCCTCTAGGAATGGTTGAGGGTTGCCATATCCATTTTTAATGTTTTTTTAAAAAGGAGAAACCATAGTTCTGAATGGCTGTGAGCTTCCAGTCCCGTAAATCCGGTGCAGAAGTCTTTGGTTTATGATGCGCCGAAAAGCAATCATTTGTGGGGGATTGTGGCAACCTTGTGGTTGAAGAAATCCCCGGGCAAACTTCTCCCTCCCGTGGCCCAGATGTTTCCTGTTTCTTGGCTTAGTTTACAGGCTGTCTAGAGGCCAAGCTCCAGATTCCATCCAAAAATGTGTTGCGTAGCCCGTGAAAGAAACAAGATCTTGGCCCTTACTTTGCTCCTTAGCAGTTTTTTTTTGTAAAACAGTTCTGGGCCGTAGCTGTTACCAACACAATTCTTTGGCTTCCTGGTCCGGAATTCTCAAAATACATGGAGTTGCTTGTTTGTTTTTCCTGTGTTGCATTAAAATGTCAGTGTGAAGTGCGGGCCAGAGATGGACACGGTGCGCATGTAACATAAACTGTCGAGAGCCATTTTTGTGTTTCTTGGCCTGACTGAGAGGCAGAGCTGGGCTACAGGGAGAATTCTGGGAAATGTAGTCTAAAGAGAACAATTACCTGGACTCCAGTTGGTTTCGGGAAGGAAGCAGGAGGTCACGGGGAAGATGGAAATCTTCCCCAGCCCCTGTTTCTTGCTTTCAGCCTCTTTATCCCATCTTCCAAAATAAGCATTTGGCTTCTTTCCTATGGGAAAAAAGTAACTTCCTTTTTAGAGAGATGAGGGAGGTGGGGTGTTCTCGAATATACTGTGCAGATTTATTTAACTAGTTGAACCCTGGGTTGTGAAACGAGGGACTTGTTTCTTCTTACTGTATTTGTTATATTTATATCGTAAACCTTTCCTCCTCCTCCTCCAGATGTTCTCACAATGCCTCTGACAGGTAGGCTAATCTGAGAGGGTCAAGCAGTGAATGCCACGGCTGGATTATCAGCTGTGACTTTCTGAGCTTTCAGTTGGGATTCTTTGTTGTTCCTGGTGGGTTTCCCATCCAAGGATGAGCCAGGTCCAACCCTGGTGAGCTTTGAAAAGTGTACGGGATCACGGTATTCAGGCTGGGACAGCATGATGAGCTTCTGTGGCTAAAAAGCATGTCCTTGTCCGCAGACCCGTGTTCCTTCCCTGGGAGGCCTCTCCTTTATCCCTGCAAATTACAGGGTAAAACCCTTCTGCTGGGTGTCTCATGCACGGTGTTAGCTCAACAGGCTGAACTGGATTTCAGGCGGTCATGGTGGTTTCTCAGGCCGGCATGAACCCATTGATGGTACCTAAGCCGGGGTGGTGGTGGTCCCACCCTTGTGGCTTTGGGCTACTTGAAATCTGCCAAAAAAAAAAAAAGTGGGAGGGGGCTTGGCTTTGGCCAAGGAGGATCCGTGAAATTCACTTGGTCGTCTTGGGACGGTCACCCTCTGCCCAGCCTACCTCCCCAGGCTGTTGTGAGGAGGACGAAAACAGGGATATAAATATAATAAATATTTATTGAACTCAGCTCTGTTCTTTGAAACCTGCAGTGCGCTTGCTCCCAGATCGGGCCGGGGGCAGCCGCTTCCATGTCCTGCTGCGCAGAAGAACTGCTGTTGTCTTTGCTTTGCTCCCCCACCTCCCCACCCCGGTAATGCTAGGATGGCAGGCGGGAGCCCTCCCCTTCTTACATCCACTCATCTTCTTTCAACATCGAAAGCGGAAGGGAAACACTGTTTTTTTGTTTTCGTGAGGCTGCTGCTGGGGATGATGGGACTTGTAGCCCCGGCGTGTCTTGGGGGAAGGGTGGTTTTCTGTTGTGAGCATGTTGATGAGATGGAAAAACCAAAAGGAAGAGAGGTTTGTGGACCAGCTGTGGAGGAACATAGGTTGATGAAGTGAGGAAACAAGGCACATGCAGCTTTTCAAGGAAAGGGTATTTTGAGGAGTGTCCCGGTCGTGGTGGGGGCATCTTGATTGCTGTTAGTGGGAGGGAGAAGCAGAAAGCTTCCAGCCCCATGAAGACGGAGGGTTATCTCACAGTTGCAGGCTCTCACTCTGTAATAACCGTCCCCATAATAACATTGAGGGTGACAATAATAGTAAGAACCATAATAACAACTATCATCAACCAAGCAATAAAACAGAGAGAGAGAGAGAGAAACAAACAAATAAATTGAAATTTTACCCTACCTTTCTCCTTAAAAAGGGCCCCACCTTTCTCCTTAAAAAGGACCTTGAAAGACAATATTTAAAGGTGAAAACAATGAGGATACAATGGTGGTTGACATTATTAGAAGACAATATTTAAAGCTAAGAACAGTGGGTGTAATATGAAGAGGCAGCTTACATAATTAACAGACAGTAGTAAAGCTGAAATAATAAGTATACAAGTATTAAGAAGGGGCAAACAGATGCCACTCTGAGAAGTGGTAAATACAAGTACTGTAGTAGTGTTGTTTTAAATGTGTATTAATATTGATTTTATTACCATTTTTATATAATACTTGTTTAATTCTTTTTAAATACTTCTATACCTACTGTCTTTAGCTTTTTAATGTTTTCATTATTATTACTGAAGTGAGCTGCCTTGGGTTCTTTTTAAGGAGAAAGTTGGGAGAACAATATTTTAAATAAATACTAAATTATTTTAGTAGTATAGAGCAATAATGTGTAATGAATGAATCTAAAAGTCACTCGGGCAGCCGGTCACTGAGAGAAAGCTTGCCTGAGGAGAAAGGTATTTGTCTGCTTGAGGAAGGACAGCCAAGGTGGGGGGTCAGTCTTTTCTAATAGAATTAGGGGGGGAAAGCCCGCATTGTTGTAATCCCATCTTCTTTCAAAGTACTTAGTGACAATCCAGCGCCCTGTCGCTCTCGCCGCATCCCTCCAAGGTGGTCTGCCTGCGTGGGGGTTTCCACCTCAGTCTCGATCTGCCAGGGCAATTGGCCACGCTCCCCTTTGGCGACAAGGTCGGGAGATTTTTGAGGCGGTTCCTCTTCGTTTACTTGCTGCTTACTAGATAGAATGTAAGTCCACTATTTTTGGCACCGAAGTATCCAGGGGGAGATACTTCATGAAGGCGTAACAGCGCAGGCTGGGACTCGTTGGCCAGCATTTCCTTTCTTCGGCTAACTTGCAAGGATTAGGCAGGGAGTAGAAAGTGCTTTGTGGCCAAACCAGTTGTGTTTGTTGAAGATCGGGACCTTAAGACACTTGCCTGTCGCTTCCGTGGTCGCTGCAGAGACGCAAAGTGTAGCTCCCGGAGATACACACTGATTTGTGTGCTTTGCGCCCTGCAAAAGTGTGTCTCTGAAGAAATTTGTGACCTCACTGTGTTGGCCAGCTTGCGCTTGGCGTTGGTCAGGTTGTCTAGGTGTGACTTCTCCCCTTCTGCCCCAGATTGTAGGGAATGGGAGTGAGCAGCAGCTGCAGAAGGAGCTTGAGGATGTCCTGATGGATCCCCCCATGGAAGACCCACCCAACGACCGGGAACATGAAGAGGAGGAGGAGGAGGAGGAGGAGGACAACTCCCACGATGGAGAGGGAGACGAGCCGGTCCTCCTCGAAGCCTCGGCGTCCTCCACCATTAATCCCGTGTCTGTGTCAGGACTCCAGAAACCGGGGATGAGTTTGCCGGTGAAACCAGCGCAAGGAGGTGAGGCAGTTTCTTTGTGGTGGTGGTGGTTGAGGCTTGGAGATGTGGTGAAGGAGGAAGCGGGGGGGGGAGACCAAATGTCCAGAAATCCCGAAGGGTAAGGAAGCATGGACATGTGTCAGCTGCTGGTGGGTGTCTGATGTCCTTTTTTTAAAAAAACGGAGCTAGCTTTCCTTCCCATCAAAAGACTTTCAGCGGACTTTTTCTTAATCAGTAGTAAAGAAAGCTAGGCAAAATAGAACATTTTTTAAAAAATCCATGAAACAGAAGCAGGAACCAGAAGGAACCACCCCAAGCTAGCTTCCCCAGCCCTCTGATGAAAAGTCTTTGTCTGGTAACCCCACCCTTTGATCTTCAAAGAACAGAGAGGCTCAAGGACATCTAGATTTTTTGTGATTTTTGTCCTCGGCACCTAGTTTGTTGAATTCTCCGACTGACTTTTCCACGGGGTGTGTTTTTTTTTGAGAGCCGGTCCAAAACCGCCAAAGTTTGCTTCTTTAGAAACTGCCAGCGGGTGATGGCTCTTGCCCCTGGTTTTGTTCCGTTTTGATGGTCCTGTCCTCTTTCTTTCGTCTGCCTCCTTCGAGATGTTGCTGCTTTGCTCCTTTGAGGTCCCTCAAGAGTGGGACACGAGGGATATAAATGCTATTGCAAATGAATTAACCCACCTCAAAAGCTTTTCTACAAGCCGCATTTATTTTGGGCTCATTGGAATTCCACTAATTGTTTATTTGGTATTCTGTGTGTTCTCGAGTAGATTGAAGAAAGCAGCCCTCTTGGCTCTTCTTACTGCTATATTTTCACAGCGGCAGCCCTGTGGGGTAGGTCAGGCTAAGAGTGAGGTAGTAAGAACAGCTGATTCCAGGCTACCCAGCGAGACTCGTAGTTTGAGCTGGGATCTTCTGAAACAAAACTCAACACTCTTATTTACTGGTTCTTTTTTTAAAAAGTCAATTTCTGTCCATTTTTCCGGGCTGACCCGAGACCTGACCCTCTGCTCCCTTGCAGATTCCAGCGAGTCGAGTCCTTTCACCCCAGTGGCCGACGAGGACAGCGTGGTCTTCAGCAAACTCACATACTTGGGCTGCGCCTCCGTCAACGCCCCCAGGAGCGAGGTGGAAGCCCTGAGGATGATGTCCATCTTACGAAGCCAATGCCAGATCTCCGTGGACGTCACCCTTTCCGTGCCTAACGTGTCCGAAGGAACCGTGAGGTACAGTACTTGTTCTTCTTCTTCTGCAGGGACTGCGATGTGGCAGACTGGGTGGTTTTTTTGTGGCCTCCACGGTAATACCATTTACAAGAGAGTGAATTCTTACTACAGTGGTGCCTCGCTAGACAAGTTACCCCGCATGACAGGTTTTTTTTGCTAGACATTGACTTTTTGCGATCGCTATAGCGATTCGCAAAACAGTGATTCCTATGGGAGAATTTCGCTGGACAACGTTTGGTCTCTGCTTCGCAAACCAATTTTCGCTAGACAACGATTTTGACAGCTCCCTCCACACTCGCAAAATGGCTGTTTTCTGGATCTAAGGTTTGCAAGACAGCTATTTAAACAGCTGATCGGTGGTTCGCAAAGCGGCTTTCCTATGGCCGATCTTCGCTAGACAACGATGATTCTTCCCCATTGGAATGCATTAAGCAGGTTTCAGTGCATTCCAGTGGGGAAATGCTTTTTGCTAGACAATGATTTCACTAAACAGCGATTTCAGTGGAACAGATTATCATCGTCTAGCAAGGCACCACTGTAATTGTTGTGAAGACCCAGCCTCCCACCCAGTTTTCATCTGCATCCAACCACTGGCTCTTCTTGAACTCACTGAGAACCAAAGGCTTAATGTAAAGTAATCATGGTTGTCATCTTGGAACAGCAGAGCTGGAAGGGACCCTTATGGATCATGGAGTCCAGACCCTGTTTAGGGGCCCCGGGGGGGGAATTCGAACCCCCAGCCTCTGGCTCTGCAGCCAGATACCTTAAACCACTGAGCCATCTTTTCTGACAGTTTTAGAAAAGACAATCCCTTGCTTATGGGGTTGAAGATGCTGCTTAGGTCTGTCTCTAATAGGTGTCTCATAGACCGACGTACCGATCTTTTCATGGCATGTCTGAAGGATTGCAGTGTTCCTTGACTTTTCCCTTTCCTTCCCCCTTTTTAACCGAACAGGCTGCTGGAACCTCCGTCGAACACCGAAATTGCCAACTACCCCATTTACAAAATCCTCTTCTGCGTGCGGGGCCATGACGGGACTCCGGAGAGCGACTGCTTTGCTTTCACCGAAAGCCATTACAACTCGGAGCTCTTCAGGATCCACGTTTTCCGATGTGAAATCCAAGAAGCCGTAAGTGGGTCGCTCGGGCCTTGCGGGGCCCGAAGCGGGAAGCCAGAACTCCTTGGGTTTCCACACCAGAAGCTCCCGCGTTGAATTCTGGGCACTTCCCAGGGAGCAGGAGAGTCCTGAATCAGAAACCAGAGACCTGATGTGTCAAATAGAAGTCTCCAGCCAGGTGCCTTTTAGAGATGGCAGACTTCAATTCCCATCAGTCCCAGGTGGCATGGCCGGTGGCTAGGCATGCTGGGAGTTATAGTCCAAAGCACAGCGATTGCGAGGTTGGGTGGGAGGGTGGTGCGGATCATTTGTAAACAGGCGAAACAGCCGCCTGCCTTCTGAAATCTCTGAAATTAGCCTCTTGATGCTTCAGCCTCCCAAGCAAGATGGTTTCTGGAAATTAGGGGTGGTGAAAAATTCTTGCTTGATTAAAAACAAATAGAAAATCTACCCTCGTCCTAGCTCATGATTGGACTCTTGTGGTTTGGTGTTGAAGGAACAGGAATGAGGGAAGCTACCTGTTTGGGAAAACAGCTCCCATCATCCTGTATCCAGCCCAAATGACCACTGGGTATGGATCCTTTTGAAGGATTATGGGAACTGTCATGCTCCGTCTCCCTGGAAGCTCTGCCTCTCCTCCTGTCTTCCAAGGGCTTGCCTGGGGCAGTTCCCCCTCATGGTGGGTCTTCCGGTCACCTCGTTCCCCCCCCCCGCTTATCGTTTTCTTGGCTTCTTTGCAGGTGAGCCGCATCTTGTACAGTTTCGCCACCGCCTTTCGCCGTTCCTCCAAGCAAACCCCGCTCGCGGCCCCCGTCGCCCCGCCCACTCCGGACAGTGACATCTTCACGTTCTCCGTCTCCCTGGAAATCAAGGAAGACGATGGGAAGGGCTATTTCAGGTATCATGTCCACTTCCTTTTGTCTTCTCTGCTGGTGCTTTTCTGATGGTTTAGAGAAATAATAAAATACGGAGGGAGCTTGTAAGGGCCATCAAGTCCAGCCCTCTGCTCAGTGCGGGAATCCACATCAAAGCAGATCTGACAGAGCGTTGTCTAGTTTTCTCTTGAAGGTTTCCAACATTGGAGCACTCACCATCTTCTCCTTGAAGTTATGGGTTCCATTGTTGTACTACTCTAACAGTTAGAAAGCTTTTCCTGATATTCAGCCAAGATCTGGCATCGTGTAGCTTGAGCCCATTATTTTGTGTCCTGCACTCTGGGATGCTCGAGAACAGACCCCGCCCTTCCTCTGTAGGAGAGCCGTTCAAATATTTGAAAAGTGCGATCCTATCTCCCCTTCTTTTCTCGAGGCTGAATATGCCCATTTTTTTCAGTCTTTCTTCATGGGGCTTGGTTTCCAGTTCCCTGAATTTCACGCAGGTGCCTAAATCTTCCCCTCCTGAATTGGGTTTGGTTGATTTAATCTGTTTTTCCTGTTCTGGATGTTTCCCTCTGAATGTGAGCATTCCTCAGGGGAGTGTCTCAGTGTGGAGAAAATATTTGGGCTCCAGATCAAAGGTTCCGTTTCAGAAAAATTCTTTCCAGTGGCCTGATGAGGCCAAAATCGAAGGCACGTGATCAAAAATCCCAGTAAATTTTTTACCTTCAAATTCTTCCTGCACACTCTTTGGAGAAATCTTTAAGCCTTTTAGGAATGGAGGGGGAAATGGAACAAAAGCTGGTACGGCAACAATGATGATGATGATGTCACAGAGTAGGGTGAGTGAAACATTTCCACTGCCCGCTTGGAAATCAGAAATAGGATCCCGATATGCATTTCCTGTGGTTCCTGATTTGTCCTTTGTCTCCTGCTTGATTAAGAGGAAAAAATGCAAAAAATATATATAGTTGGACCAAGCAGAGGCTTTAGTTAAAACGGCAGGTGGTGGCAAATTAAAAAAAAAATCTGTATTCTTCAGCTGTGTACGCCGGATTGGTAGGCTCCTAATTGCAAAAGTGTGTTTATTTTTTTTTTAATGATTGGATACATGCCTGAGATACCTGCTCCCTTGTCTGTTTGGCAGCACCCGTTTGGCCCCACCCCTGAGCCCAGGCAATCGAAAACAAGTGCATTCTTTCCTGGGCTTCATCCAGGATGCTTGAGATACCTGCTCCCTTGTTTGTTTGGCAGCACCGGTTTGGCCCCACTCCTGAGCCCAGGCAATTGAAATCAAAGTGCATTCTTTCCTGGGCTTCATCCAGGATGCTTTTGGTGGGTGCTGATGCTCGGTGGTCCTTATCCCAGTTTCCGCAGAGTCCTAGGGCTCTGGCGCCCCCTTCTGTCCAGTCTCACAACGACAGCCCTGTCATCACACACCGCAGCGTTGTGTTGCAATTAACAAGGATATGTTAGCCTTTGACGGGATACCAGAGCCTCCTGCACTATTGGAATGAAAGTGCATATCTCGGTCTGTCTGTCACGGGGGTGGCGGGGGGGGGAGAGAGAGACTGTGTCTGTGGAGCCCTAATCTTAACCCCAGAGGGCACCGTCTTCCTGTTTTTTTTAAAAAAAGAGGAAGACTCCTTCTTCCAAGCTTGCTCAAATAAATAAATAAATCGGGAAGTGAGATTCAGTTTGCTTTCTCTTTCTCTGGAAAGGGCTGGGGCAGACAGTTGAGATTCTGAGGTCAAGCCAGCTGGCTGCCTTCTGCTGCGGTGGTGTGATGCATGATCCTGAAGGGTGAAGCGGCATTCTGTGTGGTCCTCGCTACGTCTCGCTCTCCCATTTTGTCAGCTGGCTTGGCTCTTCCAGGATCTCAAGGGGCTGCCCGCAGGGCCTTCGTTTGACCTGCCTTCCTTTTCTTCTCGACCACAGCGCTGTTCCCAAAGACAAAGACCGACAGTGCTTCAAGCTACGGCAGGGGATCGACAAGAAGATCGTCATCTACGTCCAGCAGACGACCAACAAAGAGCTGGCCATTGAAAGGTAGTTCGGCTTCGGGAGCTGCTCCTCGGGCAGAATCCATCCATTCGGTTCATGCCCTGCTTTTCTTCCGAAATTGGCGACAGGCAGCAGTTGACAAGGTGGCTGGAAAACAGTCACACCGAGAAACACAAGAAGTTATGATATTGAGGGGTGGCTAAGGATGCTGTCGGATTCAAACAGCTCCTCAATTAAAGCTATTTTAAAACACTTCTGAGAAGGGAATATCAATAAGATGCCGAGAATCCCTGTCTCTGCACTTCCGTTCGCCTCTCTCCACATGGTTTCCTGCTGCTGTAGGGAAGTGAGTGAATATCACAACCCTTGATATAGGTCGTGTCCGTGTACGACCCAAAAGGGTTTTACGGGCATACTAAAAACGATGTCAGGAGATGTGAGTGCCTTTTCAGAAGTACTTCCACTGTGACAAGGATCATGAAGATGAGGAAATGAATGAAATTCACACTGTGTGTCTGTTGCTGGACTTTATCTGTGAATTTCTAGCAAGGAGAACGTCTTGCAAGGAAATGCGTCGTACTAGCTCTGTTCTCTTCTTTTTCTTCATATGTAATTGTAGGTGTTTTGGCCTCCTCCTCAGCCCCGGGAAGGACGTTCAGAGCGGTGACATGCATTTGTTGGATCTGGTAAGGAGTGTGCCATTTAACAAACTTTGTCTGTGGCCTCCCCAGGGAATCCAGATTTACTTTTTAACGTGGTCTGTGAGTGCACAAGCTTTTGTCTCACGCTTCTCCCCCTCCTGCTCTGTTTTTTTTGTGGCTTCCAGGAATCGATGGGGAAAAGTTCGGATGGGAAATCGTACGTCATCACCGGGAGCTGGAACACAAAGTCCCCCCACTTCCAGATTGTGAACGAAGAAACCCCCAAAGGTTTGTGCCTGTCCTCTCCCCAAAAGGTGGAGGCTGGTGGCCGGGAAAGCATTGGGGGCAGTGGTCCGGAAAGATGTGAACCGTGGTCAGAAAGAGCTTACTCACCATACCCCCTGCAAGCCTTTATGACCAGTGGCAGCCTAGGCTGGGGATTCTGGGTGGCGTAGTCCAAAAAAAAAGAACTTCCCCAGGAGTAGGGGTGTGTCTGGGAGTCACATATCCCCATAGATGGCATCCATGTGTTGCGGTTAGAGATGGGCATGAACAGGTTCGTCCCGGTTCGTCAGAGCGGCAGCCCAGGAGCTGCTGCTCCCCTCCACCCACCTCCTCTGGCTCAATCAGCCACTCACCAGGCCCAGCATGCCAGCTTCCTGGCCCTCTTCAGCTGATCTTCCATTCCCGGCAAAACAGCTCAGGCAGCTCAGAGAAAAGGGCAGGGCAGAGTTCTGTGCTCTTCCTCATGACTGGGAGATTAGCTGAGTAGGTGGAAAAAAACAAGCAAGCTGGGCCTGGTGATTGGCTGATCAACTGAGTAGGCAGGGGAGCAAAGCAGCAGCACCTTTACAAAGGTGGGACGAACCGGTTCATGCCCATATCTGGTCATGGTCTTTTAGACGGGTGGTCAAGGGAAAAAAACTGCAGCAGATCAGCACCAAAAGTCAAGTCATTGTCCAGAGTCATTTCCTAACCTGGTGTCCTCCAGGGATCTCCGACCAAGGGGAACGCAGCTGCTATTAGCCCAGCAAACCTAGCTGGGGGTCAGAGCGTTAGGGGGACTTAAGAGTCTCAGACGTGTGGAAGTCACGCCCTCTGCTAGTTGGTAAAATCTGATGTTGCTGATGGTCGGAGCCCTTTGGAGGATTAGCTGCACGTCAGTTGCCTTGCGTGCAATGGGACTTACCTGTGAGCCAACACACGCAGGTTTGGCGTCTTGTCGATCGGGCACGGCGCCGGCATCTCTTGGGAGCACGGGCGGATGGAAGCAGGAAGGAGTTTCAGGGTCATCCCCTTGGTTTCCTGCTGCCTCTCCCCAGACAAAGTGCTGTACCTGACGACGGCCGTGGACTTGGTGATCACAGAGGTCCAGGAGCCGGTCCGCTTCCTCCTGGAGACAAAGATCCGCGTGTGCCCTCCCAACGAGCGGCTCTTCTGGCCGTTCAGCAAGCGGAGCTCCACAGAAAACTTCTTCCTTAAGCTGAAGCAGGTAAGGGCGGTGCAGGTTGCGTGCGCGTCCCTCTCAGGCCTTGGGCAGGAGGTGGGCCCCCCTAAAGGGTGAATCTTTTCTAATCCTCTGGCACTTTTTTTTGTGGTCCCCCGGATCGTGAATCTCAAGCAGCGGAGACGGGTAGCTTTGGGGGCATCTGGTGCTGCTCAGTCCCTCCTTGCTGTCCTTTCAAACTTTGTTTCTTTTAACTTAGTTTGGGGTGCTTTGGCTTTGGATTTCATGCCTTGGTGGACTGGTCTAGATGACCTTCTCTGTGATAAAGCTCACGGCGAGAAGGCTGAGCCACTTTCTTTGCTCTGGTCCAGCGCTGGGGCATTCGGTTTCCATTCTGACCATGCTCCTTGTCCTGAACATGGAGGCAGGATGTTCTCATTGCAGTTGCTGCCCAGTGGTGAGGCCCTCGCTTTAAGTGTGAGACCCCACCCCACCCCTTGGATCCTCACTTCGGGAGAAAGAAGCAATAATAGAACTGCCGGATAGCTCTGTAGCTTAAGTCTCTCTGGCTGCGAAGCCAGAAGGTTGAGAGTTCGATTCCCCCACTGGGCCTCTTTGACGGAGGCTAGACTTGACAATCTATAGGGTCCTTTTGTCTAGGGAGAATAAAGCCATAGATGGCTGTTGTGATGATGAGAACTCCCTGAAGCCTCTTGTCATTTCGTTCATTAGACTGCTGGATGCTAATGATTCGGATACTGACTCAGGAGAACATTGCCGGGCTTTATGGCTACCTGGTGGGCTCTCGGAGCGATCCTGTTGGCCCCGTTGGGGAGACAGGGCTGGATTAGAGAGGCCTTAGCTCTATAAGAGGCTGTAACTACAGGAAGCCAGATTTCGGCTGAATATCAGGAAAAACTTCTTAACTGTTAAAGCGGTACGACAGTAGAACCCCCGTGACCTTGTTAGGTGGGGAGCGCTCCAGTGCTGGAGGCCTTCAAGGGGAAATGGAGCCGCCTCCTGTCGGATCAGCTTTGATTTGGGTTCCTGCCTTGATCAGGGCGTTGGGCTCAGTGGCTTTATTAGTTCCCTTCCAACCCAATTTTTCTTGGGAGTTTATGATTCTAGCTCACTGGCTGTGGCTCCATTGTGAAGTTAGTATTCCTCTATCCCTCCGCCTTAGACTTCCGCGGAGGCAACATTGCCAGGCTCAGAAGAAAGAGGGTGGCTACAGCCTGTTTGTCATTCCGTGCAGAACCCTTCCCTGTGGCACTGCTGCCCCAGCCTGATTATGTTCTGCTTTTCTGAAGGCGAAACACGGAGCGGATTAAAACAATTGATTCTGTTTGCTATAAATACCTCCCCGCTCTTCAAGCGCTGGCTTGTTAATCTTAGGAAGTTTATCTTACTGAGCTAATTCCGTCGCCTTTTGTCTGGCCGGACAGCCTCTCATTGTGACCCTCTTTATCTTGCCGGCTCTCGGCTCGTTTCTCAGGCCCGCGATCTGACTTTTTTTCCGAGGGCTGGAAGTGCCCGTTCTGAGTTTCTCTCCCTTTTGGGGGCCGTGTGGGAGAGAGGCACGAAACGGAGGACGTGACCGCTGGGCAAGCAACAAACCCAACCCAAGATTCTGAACAGCCTACAAAGGGATTCAAACCAGGGTCTCTCCACATATGCGAACGATGTTGTCTGGGGCAGCCTGGAGAAAATGGGAGGTGTTTTTCCTCCCAGATCAACTAATTGCACAGGCATAATCCTCCTGATCTATCTGAAAAACTGGCCTTGTTTTAAGGAGGTGCTAATGGTAGAATACCAACTAGTCTCCTCTAGAAACCTTCCCAAGAAAGGTGTATGGATTTGTGGTTTTAAACTACAACTCCCAGTATCCCTTAGGCAACGGAGCTCTGCTGCCTAAGGGATACTGGGAGTTGTAATCCAGAATCTGAGAGGTGCCAGCTTCCACGTCCTGGCGCTTTGTGACTTATCTAGCTGAAATGCTTTCCTTCCTTCCGTCTCAGCTGAGTCTTTAAGGAATAAACGTTGAGGCCATTAGTCACACAGGCTGGGGGAGGGGGTTTCTGGGAGTTGTAGTCCAAAAATTGGAAGTTGTTCAAGCTCCTATTTGGGGCTCCCTCCCTGTGGTTCTTCCCATGGGATTCATACTCCCTGCTTAGGCAGAGTCTAGTTGCGTGCTACCTGCTTAAGCTCCTGTTCTAGAAGGAGAGCAGCCTGAGGAGACAGGCTCCGCCCAATGGGGCTCTGGCCACACCCCCTTTCTATTTAGCCCCACCCATTGCCAGATTTCTCCGCCCCCCCAATGCAGAAATAGCAGGGTCTCCCTGCTTCCAGGCATTTCTGTCCATGCTTTTCCACGACCGTGACACTTAATGCACCTTTTTCTGTCCAGATCAAGCAGAAGGACCGGAAGAGCAGCACAGACACGCTGTACGAAGTCGTGTCCCTGGAGAGCGAGTCGGAACGGGAGCGGAGGAAAACCACCGCCAGCCCGGCACTCCGCTTGCCCCAGTCGGGATCCCAGGGGTCTATGGTCCCCTCCCCTCCTGAGGATGATGAAGAAGAAGGTGAGGGGAAGCGGTTGATCTTGAAACAGAAGGCCGCTCCTTAGCGAGTGGGGCAGGGCTTTTCCAGGCTTGTCTCCTACTCGCTGTGACAACCGGACTTGAAATTGGCTGAAGGTTTGGTGCAGGGAAGCACTTTTAAGAGTGTGTCGCCCTTGAAATTGGGCCCTGAAATGGAGCGGGAACCCAGCTGCCTTTGGGGCCACATTTCCAAGCATCCCCAGCTGAGAGGTCAAGCATCGCCACATGTCAGCATCCCCTAAGTTGCAGTTAGAAAAGTCAAATGTCCAGGCTCGGGGGCTGATGCAGCTGGTAAAGCACTGGTGTAATAAGATGGAAACACCCACTTTGGGGACACCCTCCCCAATGGCAGCTCCTGTCTCCACTTTGACGGCCAACCTGGCCCGGTTTTGTGTCTTGCAGACAACGACGAGCCCCTCCTGAGTGGCTCGGGGGACGTCTCCAAAGAGTGCGCGGAGAAGATCCTGGAGACCTGGGGAGACCTTTTGTCGAAGTGGTAAGCCTCCTTCTGTTCCCCATGCCAGAAATACACATAAACACACGCACACGCACACGCACACGCAGTGCCAGAACCCACCCACCCCACAAAATCAGCAGCAGAATTTCTCCGGGAGGGGAATGGAGGACCCCTGTCAGGACAGCAAGAGACACTTCTGTGTTTCCCTCCATCACCAGCAGAATTTCTCCGGGAGGGGAGCGGAGGACCCCTGTCAGGACAGCAAGAGACACTTCTGTGTTTCCCTCCAGCTCATTCTTACTGCTCCTAATTCATCTTTTCCCGTCCTGCCACCTTTATCTCAGTGTTTCTTGACCTGATCCCCCTGCCGCCTGTCCCATCATCCTCAGCCCTTATTCCGTCCATGTGTTCAAGGCTTTCCTCGGCACCCAGCAGAGAAGTCAGGAAGTGCAGAAGGGAAAAACCCTTTTAAATAAGCACATGGCCCCCTTTATCCCTCCTGGCTTTATCCCTCCTGGCTTAGCCTCTCGGGGTGTTCCTATGGCTCTGTTTCATGGGTCTCTCTCTCTCTCTCTCTCCTTTCCCTTTCCACCCCCTTCAGGCATTTGAATCTCAGCGTGCGACCAAAAACATTGCCTGCCTTGGTGAGGAGCGGCGTCCCCGAAGCTCTCCGGGGGGAGGTTTGGCAGCTGCTGGCAGGATGCCACAACAACGACCATCTCGTGGAGAAGTACCGGGTTCTCATCACAAAAGTAAGCAGACAGATTTCTTTGCGTGCCGTTGCTGTCTGTTGAAAAGGACAATCCTGTTGAGTAGCAAAGGCCTTCCTGAACTCTGCGTCCATCTGGCGGGTTAGGTTTTCCGTGATGGTGGTCAGTCAGTCTGCGGGGGGGGGGGGGGNACTCCTGGAACTCCTTGGGTTTCCTTGGCCAGGATGTTTTTATTTATTAGTTTGATTCGTTTTACATACACCCTGGCCTTTCCCTTGCCAGGATGCCAACCTTGTCCACACAGGTGGGTGTCTTTAAATCCAGGTCCTGACCTGACCAGATAGGCGGGACAGACAGACAGACAGACAGACAGACAGACAGACAGACAGACAGATAGACAGATAGACAGATAGACAGACAGACAGACAGACAGACAGACAGACAGACAGACAGACAGACAGACAGACAGACAGACAGACAGACAGACAAAAATCCAAAGAAACATAACGAAGCAAAGCAAAAACACATGCCCCCCCCTTAAAGACTAACACTTATATTTTAATGTGGGCTTTTGTAGACAAGTCCACTTCATCAGACGTATGGAATAAAAATGAAACACAATAGGTCTGATGAAGTGGTCTTGTCCTTGAAAGCTCACCTTAAAATAGAAGTGTTAAGTCTTTAAGAGGCCCCATGCTTTTGTCTTTTTTGTTTCACTTCTTTAGACTTGGGCTTTAAATCCAGAGCATCAGATAGAAATATTGTACACACACAGTGGTGGGTATGGAACTGAGGAGCTGTAGGCCATTGGGTGACCCCAGTATGCTTGGACTGCAGTTCCCAGAAGCCTCCACTGCTGCCTGTGCTGGCTGGGGGTTTCTGGGAGTTGCAGTCCAAGAATACCTGGGCGGTCCCGGGTTCAGAACCCCTGTCCCTAAAGAGACTTCAGATAAAAGAGAGTTGGGTTTGCGCTTAGATGACAGACGAGGAAGCCCACCACAAATCTTGGGTAGCTTTTGGAAGATGGAACGAGATTTATTTGGTGTGAAAGCGGCGATGGGTTGCAGCCCACTGCACCGGAGGTAGTCGATGGTGTGGGCTAAGATCTTCCAAATAAAACCTGTTAGCCTTTCAGTTGCCCCAGCACTTCTTGCTATGAGAGACTCATGATGCTGCACCCACCCTAACCCCCACCCTGGAATGGCTGATGACCCCATGTTTGGTGGGACTTTGTAAACCTGCTTTAACCGGAGGAAGGGAAAAGGTCCCCGTTTCCTTCCTACAACATAGCTTTCTATAAAAATTCAGGATCAGTTCGGGATTCTGAACACGTCTCTGTTGACAAGGTAACTCCTATCCTTGAGGAAACCAAGCTTTTCTTATTCCGCGATTCCTTTCCTTCTCAGACCGGCTTGCAGTGTCTTTATCTTTTGTTTCGTGGAGCATGCTAACCTTCAAGTCTAAGAGGTCTGGGCTGTGTTCTTGTGTGGGTTGGGTGTGTTCGCCTCGGTCCTGTACCCCGGGCCAGTCTCTGCGGTTGCGTTCCTCATCCTCTTCCCCATGCAAGAACTGATGAAAATCAACTGAAAGGCGCCTTTTGAATGGCACCCAACCCTTGAAAGACCGAGCCTTGAAAGTTGATAGAAGCAAGAACTGTTTTTTTCCCCCCAGAGATAATCAGGTGACTGGAACTGGGTGCTGCACCCCTGGCATCATCCTCTGGGTGTGGGGGGAGAGACATTGGGTGGTAGCAGCATTAAAGCTGGACGGCAGATCCCCGGGCAGAAAATAAGCAGTTGGCAGAAAACGTCTGAAAAGCTTAATATCTGCAACTCTTCCTTCCTTGTGTACTAAAACTGAATGACTCCGTTTTTTTCCACGTGTAAAGGTTTATAAACTTACGTTCAAGCATTTCAAAGCGGTGGACAAGATTAATAATCCTGTATAATACGGGTGTTGTGCAGCTAGCCAATACAATATACACAGCAGGGAAGGGGGAACTCAAGACAGGTTGGATTTAAGTTGCCCTGGTGACTCAACTCAGGGTTTTTCCCCCCCACTAACTCGAACGTGACTCGTGACTCCCTTTTTTCTGGGGGGAAAAGCTTGCTTCCAATAGGGATGTGGATTTGCTGGAGCTTGGCACTTGGGACTTGGTATCAAAGATTCGCCAGAATCCGTCAATCATATCTGTGTGGTCCACAAGAAAGTTCTTAGGCTGGGCCGTAACAAGGAAAGCTTGCCCAACTTGCCGAGTTATCATCTTGCACCCTTAAATGAAGAATCGTAAGCACGGGCCAGATGGGTGAGAGAGCGCTCCAGTGAGTGAGCGCTCGGACGCTAAAAGCCTTGTTCTAACGGCTGCAGAAATAAGATATTTGCTCTGAAAGAGAGATTTGGTTTCGTTTGCAAAGACCTACAGCCAAAGCAATGGAACGACGCTCCGTTTGCAGAGCAACGAGCACCTTGAGTTAAGAAAAGGGGCTTTCCCCGGTTCCTTGCGGGCAGCTAGCATTTTTAAGCCCCGCTTGGTCCTTGGGTCTCACCCGCCTTTGGGAAGTGAGGAAAGCCAGGATTGTGACTTTGGCTTGACGGGAGGACCAGCCTCCTTCCTGCTGGGTTTCTGATGGAAACAGGCTGCATCTGGTGCCTGCATGAGAGGCAGCAATGTGATGGTGTGCACATGCATGCTCCTCCCAGGACATCTTCCCCCCCCCCGCCCCTGCCCGTGGCATCTGGCTTTTGGTCTTCTCCTCCTTCTGCATGAACGGCTGCTCCACTGACCCAGCAAAGTGTTAGAAACTGCTGCTGCTGCTTCAGCTCAATGCTGGCTCAGCAAAACCAGGCGAGGGGCGAGCCAGGAGAAGGGGCCTTCATGGAACTGAACTGGTTTGTGTGATGGTGCATCTGTTTCGCCGGCGTTCATTCCCTGGCTAGAGTCGAGAGGGGTTTCTTTGGCCACTGGGAAGAAACAGTAAAAAAATATACATATCGGAATGGCGAATCTCTTGTTCAGGCATTCAACCCACAGGCGTGTGGGGCTTGAAAGGTGGCGACAGTGTGGGGGGTGACAGATCAGCCCCTGCTCCCATGTCCCCTCTCTGCTCGGAAGCCCTGCAGACCTTCCTGGGTTTAACACAGAAGCATTGTGAGTGCATGCGGCACCCAAAACATGCCTTTGCCCCGTGTTCCCGGCTGATGGCGTTGTCAACAAACCTCAGGCAGTGCCTCAAAGAGGTCAGCCGGCCTTGTGGAGGTTGCCAAGAGCGTAACTGGGTTAGGCTGTTGTAGTAAAAATTAGGAAGGCTTGGGGGCACCTTAAATACGAAGCGTTATTTGATGCAAGCTCGCAAGGGGCGGAATCTGTTTCTTCAGAGGCGCAGAGGGTAGCCTCGGCTGCCTGCGGAAATGGGCCGCCTACAGGGGAGACCGTCTCTGATGGAGGGGGCTGCCCCTTGCAGACGCCTGTGGCCAGAGAGAAAGGGTGCGTCCTTAAGGTGCTACAGCCGCCTGCGTTGATTTGCTGCCTGGGGGGACACCTCTCTGGATTAAGCCTGGGAATATTCTCCACTAGGCTTTTGCTTTGAGATCTGCCTTTGATTTAAACCCCCTCCCCTCCTGGCTCTTTGCCCTTTGTGCCAGCCGGGCGTTTTATCTTCACCCACCCATCTGCCCTGAGACAGCTGTCGCCACTTGGGGCATCATTGCCAGCTCTTTGCCAGCCGGGCACAGAGCGCGCAGGAACGCAGGAGAGCCGACAAAGCAGCCTTTAACCCTGCCCACTTCGTGGCTTCCTTTTCCTCTTTCTATATAACCGTCCACCCCAAGATCCTTTGGTGGAGGGCAGCTTTCTGTTTGGGGCCAAGAGTTCTGTGGAAGTAGAAAAGCTTGTGCACAGAGCTAGTTTCCATGGTAACAGGAGCTGCCGGCGAAAGGATGCCGTCATTCAGAGAGCCGACCGGGATCAATAAGAAGGAGCCTTCGCTGAAATCAATAAAACCATCCACTCCGTGGACCCAGAGAAGCAGAGCTCAGCACGCCAGACCACGTGGTTTGCCAGCTCACCAAATTTCTGGGATGTCAAAACTGAACCTGAATGGATTTATTTATTCTTCATATGCAGCCATAAATCCAGTCTTCTGCTTCACCGAATGCTGTAGATGACTGTAAATATCTAAAATACAGATTTTGATGCTCCTGGTTTCGGTTTGGAAAAAACTCTTTTGATCATGCAAGAAGCTGATCAAATAGAAAAAGTGAAGTGTGTTCAGGTGGCTGGAAATAACTACCCCAGAAAGTTATCTCCTGTTGGAGCTGGTTCTGGTTATTTCCAGGTTTCTCGATGTATCCTCTTTTTGAACAGGCAAGGAGGCTAACCCTCATGATTGCCAAATGAGGGCTGCTTGTTTTTTCTGTCGGAAAATTATGGCATTTCGGCCTTAGCCAGACCCTGGGTACCACGTGGGCGTCTCCATTTGTAAGCAAAGGATGTGGGGTATTTGACCTGTGAAGCTGCGGAAGACCTAATTTGAAAAGGAGACCCTTTGACTCTGCTTGGGTTTCACCCTAATCTGATCTCAAAAAGGATCCACGCTAAGTTATCACGCCAAGAGTAACCTTTGCCTCTGACTCCTTAGTTGGACTGGAGGACCTTTGGGGGAAATTTCCTTCGACTATTCCGTGATCCCATGCTTGCAAGCGGTGGCGGTGAATGTTTTTAAAACTGGTGGATCAGGAAGGGTGCCCGTGTGGCTTTTTAGCGTTCTTTTGTTGAAACCTGAAGGATGGAGACAGAGAAATTGGAGCTTGCTTGCTTTTAAGTTCATAAGGCTGGCTTTCCCCCAGGATGTCTTCAGGATGTGCTGGATTACAAACCCCATCTTCCCCAGCTAGCATGGGCAGAAACGAGGGCTGAGTGGAGTTACCCTCTTAAGATGTTGAGGAAGTGTTGTGGTGGAGTTGTTTGCCACACAAATTGACGGATACGGCAAACAAAGGGAGAGCCATTATTTTTGAATCTTTGTTGATAAAAACACATCTGGATTTCCAGACTGTTAATTCTGTTTGCCTGCAGAAAGGCTGAAATCAGTTCACGTGATGCACCACAGTAAAAATTACCCCGGAACAAAAAACAGAGGTAGCCATTTGGGGGCATAATGGGGAGTGGGTGTCAAAATCCAAATTAGGGTAGTATGTTTATGAGAAGTGATGACAAACCTAGACAGCATCCTCTTAAAATACAGAGACCTCACCTTGCCAACAAAAGTCCGCATAGTCAAAGCTATGGTTCTTCCAGTATTGATGTATGGAAGTGAGAGCTGGACCATAAAGCTGACCGCCGAAGAATTGATGCTTTTGAATTGTGGTGTTGGAGGAGGCTCTTGAGAGTCCCCTGGACTGCAAGGAGAACAAACCTATCCTTTCTGAAGGAAATCAACCCTGAGTGCTCACTAGAAGGACAGATCCTGAAGCTGAGGCTCCAGTACTTTGGCCATCTCATGAGAAGAGAAGACTCCTTGGAAAAGACCCTGATGTTGGGAAAGTGTGAAGGCAAGAGGAGAAGGGGATGACGGAGAACGAGATGGCTGTAGAGGGTCACCGAAGTGACCATCATGAATTTGACCCAACTTCGGGAGGCAGTGGAAGACAGGAGGGCCTTGCGTGCTCTGGTCCATGGGGTCACAAAGCGTCGGACACGACTTAACAACTAAACAACAACAAAATGTTTATGAGAAGCAACGGTGAAGTATTTTCTAGGAGGAAAAACTTGCAGACTTTGTGTGTTGCTTGGTTTTGCAGACCTCCAACGCACGTATTCAGATGCATCGGAAGAAGTGGGCTGAAAACTTAAATGCCAAATAAAACTTGCTCATCGTTAAGGTCCTACCTCTCCTCCTGCATCGTGCGGGGGCGCAGATCTCCGCCCCCTTGCCTTCCCCATCCGTTTACTGCAACGGATGTAAATAGCTGCTACCTTTTTTAGGATCAGCCCCTGTTTTATGTGTCTTCTGGATTGGTCCGTAAGAAAGATATTACATTAATGCAGATGTTCACAGGGGGAAAGGTATTTGGGGCATCTATGAACAGGGAAGCGGGTCAAACGTTGAGGGTGAACTTGTTGAGATGAAGCCTGTCTCTTCCGGCCTTCCTTTGCCCCTTCTCGGCTCCCACGTCCGGTGCCAAGTTCGGAAGGCACTCGGTTGGCATTCAAGGAACGCCAAGCCGGTTTGCGTGCCAAGGTTTCCTGCTTTCCTGCCTTCTCCCTTGCTTCTGGGCCTGTTGGCGGCGAATCATGTTTCCCTGCCAGGTGGCTGTTGTGCCATGTGGAGCTCGGGACCCTGAGGAGCAAAAGGGAACCCTTTTTTGGGGGGGGGGCACAGGTGTGCAGGTGGTGCTGGATCCTGGCAGCCATACTTGGGCAATTCGGGGGCGTGCTTATTTTGTCGGATCTGGAGGCGTACTTTGGGACGGGCGATGAGCCGGTCTGGGGAACCATTCCTTCCCACGCCCCTTTCTTGGTTATAGATTGTAGGCTCCTTGGGGCAGACTTCCAAGTGTCCCACCTGACTGATGCATTGGGAGTTATTTCAGTAAACCCTGGCAAAGGCGTGTGCGAAGGGGGCAGAGTGAAGATGCTCCCAAGGAAGAACACCACCACCATCACCCCCTCCCCATGCTTACAAAGGCGGCTGCTCTTCCCCATCTTCTGCCTCCTGCCCGCCTCCCCACCGTGTGCTTCCAAGGGGTGGGGGGGATCGGAGCCCGCCCCATCTCCCCCCACCCCACCCGGAGACCCTCCCTTTCCATCGGAATGGCCGCGGGGGTGGGTGGGTGTTTGCCTCTGAGCATAGCGAGAGCGCCTCCCTGGCGCTGCCGAGGCTCCTGCAGCTGCTCAGGAGCGCTTCTCCT